AAGATTCGAAAACGGTTTTGCTGCAGAAGAAGAGCGACAAGGAAGATCTGAAGGAATAACGCCCGACCTGAATGCTCCTACATTTTCAAGCTATTCGCAAAAATTATCACTAACCGACTAACTAGACAGTTCAGTGAACCATCGCCGAGAAATCAAGCTAGAATTATAAAACCAGTTGCTGGAACGCGCAAAATATCGACATTCTCTTTGAGTTCTACTTGTCGATCACGAAAAAGCATTCGACAGCATAAAAGGTGAATGCTGTGTAGTGAGGGTTCGTAGTTGAAGGGGTCGATGGTAATTATGTGGCAATTATTAAAGAAATGAAGATAGGCTGTTCGACAATTTTTTCTGCTCCAATCCGTAAAGTGATCGTAAAACAAGACCATCTTAACATTAAATACGCTTTGCAAAGCCAACCTCGAGATGGTATTTGCGACCTGAATTGGAATGACAGTCTAGAAATCAATGACGAGCAGCCAAATCACTTATGTTTTGTGGACGACAATTCTTACTGCAAGAGTTCTAGCAGGATAAATGAAATGCTGCGGGAGCTAAACTCACAAAGAGAATGGGCTTAAAAATTAACATATCGAAAATGAAAATGACGCAAAGTGTCAATATGCTCGCGGGCAAATTCCAGATGGACGGTGCTGACTTTGAATTCCAGACAGACGGTGCAGACTTTTCTTGGCCAAAAAGAAAATATGCGCCAAAATCTCCAGTCGGACTGCGCGAAAGAGGACTATGGGCAACGCGCATTTCACAGTATCGTCGATGTTTAACCAAAATATTGACCTGGGAAGACCGTGCTCACCTCTCCAGAAGCACAGTGCTGAATTTAGCGATGTAAAAGAGTTAAAGCGTGTTCACTGAGGAAAGGGAAGAGCCAGCCAATATGTGACAGATACAGTGATGAAACAAAAGCCACTTGGTGTGTCCTTCTGTGATTATTTTAACAATCAGAGTCCCCATCAGACTACAGCCATGTCGATGGTTAATCCGATGGGCAAGGCGCGTTGCTTTTGTTGAAGGCATCCGATGAATGTTAGGTACTAGTAAACGGCACCAACATGAAAGAAGGCGATCGCACGAGCTGTTTCAGAAGAGATGAAGTACTGAAGTTATGCACTAAAGCACTGAAGTTATGCGAAGGGCTTGAAGGGGAAGGAGGAGGAGGCAGTACCAACATCGAATCTTCACAACTTATTCATTTACGCACAAATACGATGTTACAAGAACGTTAAAGTGTTACTGTTTCTGGGTAGTCTCGTTCATCGCTATCTTCCGCTCCATACCCATCACTGCAACTACTGCTTGTTGAAAGACCACCATCATTTTTGTTTTCATAACTCTCCCGCCTATTCCCGAACATGTTATCGCTTGCTACACGAACAGATCTTTTTCTGTCGAACCGTGACGAGCTATTGGCCGCTCCCTGCAATAACCGTTTGGCAATGCTACCATTTAAAAAGGAAAAGAAGGAAAAGAAAGAATTCTTCTGAGATTTTACTCCAACAATATACTCTCAAACAAATGGAAGAACATGGTGCTTGTTTTCAAACATTCATGTATAAAAAATTAACAGGTATAGCGCAGCGGAAAGTAACAATGTTATCGTGCAGTAAGTCGAGGGATTCGACTTCGTCAGTAGGGTATTCGACTTCTCTAAGATTCATTCATTCATTTCGATGGTACACTGTTACTAACTTATTCACATTCCCCTTTTATTCCCTTACTTCTTACATAAATACCATCTAAAATTAAAATTA